ATATGATTTAATACTTGATTGGGCAAATCTTTTTTGTTTTGTTTTCAAAATTGACATGGCTAATTTTGTGCTTTTACTTTCCTTTAGGAATTTTAGGATGAGGTTGTCAGGTTTGAAGAAAATCCTGTTGAAATGTTGTTTTAAATTTATATATTAATTTTGGGGAAATAGAAAACCTTACAATATTGAGTCTTCCTATCTAAGAACATTTATCACCATTTGTCCAGTTCACTTTTAAATGTTAGGAAAATTTTACAGTTTCTACATAAAGGTCACATGCCTTTCTTATTAGGTGTATTCCTGGATCCTTTATAGTGTTTGTTGCTATGGTGAACAGAATCTTTTAAAAATGTTCTCATTGCTCATGGCTGGCACATGGCAAAACCTTTGATGCTTGTATTTTGATCTTGTATCTGCTCACTTTATTGAAACCTCTTACTAGTCTTGTTTGTTCCAATCTCTTGGGTTTTCTGAATAGTTATAGATTCTGCAAATAATGGAGGCTTTGGATAGTCTTTCCTCTATTTGTATCTTTGGATATCCTGGAGTGCCTTAATTTTTCTATTTACAGGTAGATTTTCCATTTAATTACAATTTGTTTGGCTCCCTGCGTCTGAGAAATGCTGTCTTTCAACAATTTAGGAAAATTTCCCAGCCATTTTCTCTTCGATTATTGCCCTGTCACTTTCCACTTCCATCTACAATTCCAATTAGTTGTAGTTTGGTTCTTCTCATATTGCCCCATGTCTCTTTCCTCATATTTTCCATGTCTTTGTCTTTGCCTGCATAATGTCTTCGGATCTCTCTTTCAGTCCATCAATTCTGCTGTCTCTTCCCAGTTGTTTAAACCATCTATCTTATTTTTTAAAATGATTGCACTTTTATTTATAGAAGTTTCATTGTATTCCTCCCCCTCCCCAAATATCCCTGATCAAACTACCTCTGGGATGTGAATACTCTGAGATGGAAATTTTGTTTAACATGATCCCAGGTTGATGGTGTTCCCAGGCACCTGGCAGAAGCAATCATAAATCCCTCTGGATGAACATACTTTCAACCCAGGCCTCAAACAAAATCCCGCAGATAACATTCCAAGAAATATGAACCCCTGGTCAAAAATCATTAAACACACAAGGAAACATGAGTGAGGGTTGATGGAAACAATGAAGTGATGAAAGAGAAAAGCAAAGAACAGAAATATGGAAACTTTACATGCAAAATATAAGTTAAATACATTTACTATGATTTAAGGAGAAAGACATTGACAATATGAGGAAGAACAACACAAAATTCAGTAAGTCCAGGGGTTAAAAGAGACGGAAGTTCATTTTTTCTCACATACAAGGCCAGAGGTAGCCAGCCAAGGACTAATGTGTGATGGTTCTGTGATCATCAAGGACCCTGGCACCATTTTCTTTCTGCTTTACCATCCTTAATGGTCCAATTCTTGGTACAAAATGGCTGCTTATGTTCTCAACATTACATCTAAATTCCAGCCAGCAGGAAGGAGAAAAAGACCATTTCCCCATTCTATAAGGACACGCTCTGGAAGTTAAACATAAAAATGTGCTTCCATTAATCACCTCCCTCCATGATCCCGGGTTTTAGCCTTAGCAGAAAGATGCCTGTGTAGCTGGGAAAACCAACTGCTATTTTATTTTTGGAATACCCAAACCAAATCATATCAACCCAGAGGCTTTCATCCCACCTCATGTGAATATTTATACATAAAGTGTGTGTCAATCTGGCGGGTGGCCCTGGAGCTCAGCTGCCAACATCGCCATAGAATACGCCTGGAAAGAAAAATGGATTTGGCTGCTGTCCCTGGAAGGCTGTTTCGAAGGGACCTCTTTTTGAAATGTTTTCCAGCTGTTATTTCCTTTCTGAATAATCTGAGCCTAATTCAATTTGTGGCACCTTTCTCTTTTCCATTTTTTTTCCAGGAGGCAAATTACTGGCATATGGCTCTGTACAGTCATCCATACGTTCCACTGGTGTTTGGCTGAGACTTTTACAGAATTGTAAATCAATGACCCTGCCGGTACCCGGGAGAAGTGTTCCACGTTACATGGTCTTTCAGTTACAGGGCGGGCTGGCAGTCTGTGTATTATCTCCAGAATGCTGGGGGTAAAAAGGTCGACAGCCGTTCCTGAGCTGACGCAGGGCAGATCCAGCTCATTACTGTGGGGGAGACAGGCAAGGAACAGAGAGCCAAGAAAGTCCATGGATTACAGTTAAAAAAAACCCCAAAACAACGAAACTTGACTTTGGAACCTGTTCCACCCTCATATATCATAAAAACTATTTATAAAGCAAAGTATTACTCCATAGATATGACTTTCCTTCTGGTTTAATCATTTCCCCACAGCTGCCATTCCCAGTGGGGGTTGGCGGTGATGTTGGAGATGGAAGAGGATAAGAAGCCACAGGAAACAGACTGGAGGAAAAGTGAGAATTTCAAACATAAGTTGTCACCTTGCCAGAAATGGATGAGAATTGAGCCTCTGAGTTGCCTGGGGACGCCGGTGAAGACACCAAACCATGCCGGAACAGAAGGCAATTCAAGTTCAACAGGGTCAATGAGTTCCAGGGACTCCATTTCTGCCTCCCATCTCTGGGAACCAGCCTTAACAGTCACGTGAGCCAATTCCTTAAAATACATCTCCCCCTCTCTCTATATATAGATAAATAAACAAATGCACACACATCTGTGTCTATCTACCTATCCACATATATATTGAGGTTTCGGAAAAGGCATGACATATTTTTTTCTGTATTTTTCATTGCAAAAATGCGTCATGACTTTTCCGACAACCCAATACATGCTATTGGGTCTGTTCCTCGAAGAACCCTAATGCATATATTTCTGTTTGTCTTCCTGGACCTGAAGGCCTGAGAGCAGGGACTTTGTACTACCACTACTCTATCCTTGGTCCTCAATACATTTTTACTGAATGAAGTGGACAAGTGAGAATTTCAGATTGGAAAAATCCTACTAATGGAAATAAGTAGAGTGGTAAGAGTCAATGGCTAGGAAGAAAATGTTCTCCTTGTACTGGGTTAAATCGTGTCCCCGTTCAGCCCCCCCACCCCCCCTGTCAAATTCATGGTTACCTGGAACCTCAGGATGTGACCTTATTTGGAAACAGGGTCTTTGCAGATATAATTAAATTGAGATGAGGTCAAACTGGATTACCATGGGTTCTCATCTGATAACTAGTGTCTTTATAAGAAAACAGAGACACAGAACCCACAGCAAGGAGGACACCATGCGAAGACACAGAGACATGAAGGTGGAATGGCATGTGACGTCAGAGGCACGTGACGCCAAGAATGGGGCAATCACCACAAACTGGAGAGAGGCACGGATGGCTCCTCCCTCAGAGCCTCCAGAAGGCATGGACCCTGCTGACACTCCTTGGACTTCCAGCTTCCAGAACTGTAAGAAAATAAATTTCTGTTGTTTATGCTCCCTGGCTGTGGTACTTTGCTATGGCAGCCTGAGGAAACCAATACACCCCTCTTCCGCACATCTCTACCAGTCCCCCAGAACCCTGCCATTCAACTGCAGTTGCCCCCACATAGCCCTCACAGGTTGCCTCGTGTGACTCTCCCACACCTCCAGCAGCTGAGAGCAGGTTCCGCCTTGGGCACCCTGTAACCTTGTATTTAGACCTCTGCAGCTGGTGAAAACCGGCACAGAGCTGGGGGCGTCTCTAAAGCACAGCAAACTTTTTCAAAACTTGTGTGTCCCGCTTAGGAAGAAACAGCTTGAAATCCTGCTGGGAATCCAGACCTGAGCATGTGAGGTTACCAGCCCCCCATGCAAATGGGGTGTGCAGCGGCAGTGAGGAGAAGTCTTCACCCAGCGTTTGGTTCTTCAAGAAGCTGCTCCTTAAATGAAGGCTGGAAAAATTACACATGAAGTGGTCTCCCTGGTTTCCATGGACTGTTTCAGCCCGAGGATCCGGGAAGCTTTTCTCTGGGAGGGCTGAGGTCTTGTGCGGCTGTTGTGGGGATGCTGGGTGGGTGCTTCGTGTGTGACTGGGAGCCAAGGGCGGCCCCGCTGGCGCGAGCTGTTACTGGCTCTCGTAACACTTCTGCTTCCTAGCACTTATCAGGCTGGTAATCGTGTATTTATGTGATTAATTTGTTTTGCCTGGAAGGGTCCTTGCCTGTTTTGCCAAAGATCCCCAGGAGGATGGAGATTATGACATTTTTGCTCCCCACTGTGTCTGCAGTGCATAGCCTAGTACGCGGCTTTCAACAAGCACTTGATAAATGTCTGCTAAAGGAAAGAGATGGATAAACACAGGTTAGGCTCAGGGCACTAAAGGCACCCTGCTAAGGGGGTGCTTAAAAGCCCTGAGAAGGAACCTCCTGTTCTGTTATATAACTGCTTCCTGTATGGACTAACTGAGGAAAATCCCCCTCTTATCTTCACATAGGGGACTTCAGCTACCAACTCATGGGGCTTCCTCCCCCCAACTCCATTTATCCTTTTTTTTTGGATGGGGGGAGGGGGATTAGTCAACATTGTTTTACCCTCTCAAGGAAACCTTGTGTGGAATTCTAATCCAAAACCAACTGAAAATTGAGTTGCTTCAGGGTGCAGTGGGAGAAATGGGGTGGAACCCTAACGGGCTTTCCATTTGAGAACAAGTTAGGAACCCCCAATGATATCCAGAGGGTTCCTGGTTTGAAATCCCCACCCCAGTGGTCCCAGAGGATTGTCCCAGCTGGGGGACATGGGCCTCTGAGACTCAGAACTCAGTGAAACCTAGGCCTTCAGACCTCGATTCAGACTCAACTGTTGGGACCACACTCAGACCCCAGGAGGTGGCTACCCAGAATGCAGGTTCCGGCTCTGAAGAGAACTGTCTCTCTCCATCTCTTTGTATTCATCTTGTAAAAAGACAACACGCTCCACAGGACTGTATTCTATGGGACTGGGTATCGGGACAAAACACAGTGCAACCACATAAGAAAAATAACTTTGTTATTAAGCATATACAATCTTATGAAATGTACTTCATAGTATCACATCCGTAACTATTTGAATACTAGCTCAAGTGTTATATGGGCTTGTTATAAATAATGAACATGGCAATTGAAGACTATGACTAGTCACTGGCAAGTAAACATAGCATGACAACAAACGTGGAACTCCCCAGAGCACTCGTTTTGGGGATCTAAGAAAGAATGCTGAGGTCCCTGGGGGATGTATAAAAGGGTCTTTTCTTCTATGATTTTTCTAAAGCAGTACTATTTGTTGAAGGAGCTTGTGAAGTCCAAGATTTTATGCTTTAACAATTATGGCCATAATTGTGTTTTTTTTTCCCTCAAATGGAAAATTATTTTTTTGATTTGTTGTGAAACATACATGCTGACGATATCAGGAGAAATTTCATCTGTTTCCCTGAATTCATTATTAATAACTTTGGATGGCTCTATTCTACTAGTTGTTTGGCCCGGATTCCTGAAAACAAATGTCCTTTTCAAGAAGATTATCCAAATGAAATATGTTAAGTTTGCACAATGAGGCTGCTGTCTCTCTGTGTGATAGCATGATGTGGGGAGAGAGAGGGAGCGGGAGTGACACCCAAAGTATCATGAGGGATTTGCTGTCAACCCAAGGAGATGCCTGGCACCTAGTCACAGAGAACATCTTCCCCTGCATGACTGGAATCAGGGCTCACAAGGCCAAAGTGGTTATGAATGCTAGAAAGGGAGCATGACCAGAACTAGGGTGCCCTTCACCTGGTATTTGGTGGGGTAATACTTCTTCCCCATGCCAATGTGCATTTATTATTACCTATTTAATCTGTGGACACACATGTCTGAGTTGATGCAGTAGAAACGACTTCAGTTGGCCAATCCAGTCTGTGGCAGGTTTTGGAATTAACACAGAAAGACAGAGAAGGCAGCATTCCCTTTGTACCCCTATATCCTTTGGCATAGTCCCACCCTCCCCAAATGGCTTTTCCATTCAGTTTTGAGCAGACAGCCTCTTTAGACAGTGAAGCTTTCTATAACTAAAAGATACATCACAAATAACAGCGCCTTATTATGCATTATCCATGAAAAATATAATGTGGGCACACAGAGTACATATTGAGTCCTGGGGTCCTAGTCCAAGTTTTGAAAATCTGAAGATGAATAATTACTTTATAAATTGACCTGATCCAGCAGAATGAGATGATACAATTGTGTGTTTTGCTGGAGAATATTATCTAGAATAATCTCATGAATCTCAGCTATTCCTACCGGCACTTCATTCTTTTAATATATTTATCTTAGCTTCTGCACGTCAAACATGCAGTTTGGTTACACTTTATGAGCATTTCGCAATGAAGAAGATTATATTTCTAAACACAGTTCACCATTAGGAAAAAGAAAAGGGAATACAACTCCTCATTGAAAGAAAAAAAATCAAAGATGGACCTAATCGTGTCTCATAGAGCCCGTGCATAATGTTCTTTAGCATTCATCCATCCACACCCTTTAAATACTGTGTTCCACAAGCAGGCAAACATTAAATACATCCTGGATGGGACTCAACAGATGCTCAGCTCATGTCTTCACAAACCCATGGTTGGTGAGGCTTTGTGCTGTGAAGACTGGGTTCTGGAGATACTGAAGAGGGGAAGGGAAAAAGCTGGAAAGGGGCGTGGAGGATGTGCTTACTTTCGGCTATAACATTTCAGTGGACAGTCCGTGGGGATCTTGCATGAGGAAGATACAGTGGAATAAAGTATGAAAAACTCAGCCACCGGCTGACTGACTGGAGTCCCGTGTTTCTAACATGACGGGAACCAAGGAAGGAAGGCTGTTGCCACTTGAGGTTCACAAACGGAAGCCCTTCCTATCGTTCTGAAGACAAAAGATTGAAAAGTGGCACGCAAGCACCAATCGTGGTCTCTTTAAACAAAGAAACAAAAAGCTTTCCCAGGAGGAAAGTTAAGCGATGGAAAAAGAAAACTAAACCCCAACCTCCCAGGGATATAGAGGGGAATCACAGAACGGGAAATGGGAACCCCAACGCCATCAAGCATGAGTTGTGGCAATGATCATTGGTGAGGTTCAAGGTAAGGGTGAAGGTGTCCTGCACAGGTGGATGAAAAGCCATTCCGTGTGTCAAATGAGAACATGGACTTGAGGAAACTGGGAAGCTGCCCGTCAAAACCAAGAGGTTCTCCAACAATCTTACAAAGGAGGAGGCGCACCAGCTGCTCTCCTGAGCACTTACTCTTGCTCCTGACTTGGTGGATACAGAGAAAGCCTTTCCTGGAATCTGCTTCCCTCTAGGACCCAGAGGTGTCTGAGCCAATGCTGATGGGGTGGGAGGTTTGGGAGTAGACCCCTTTCCCAACTGCATCCCACAGTTACTGGAAAAGAGAAATGAAGAAGGAGGCCTGCAAGAACTGGAATTTGGACTAAAGTATGAAAAATTAAGACAAAATGGGACTAGTGGGAAGGAAATTTCTGCCAAACAAGGAAAACTGTTGTTGTTTTTTTCCTCCACATCTAAGAGAGCTTCCAATAGTGTATCACTATCGATGTCGGCGAGCTGAGCAGGCCCCAGACGAGGACCTCTAACTCCCAAGGAGAGCAAATTTACCTGCCTCTGCTGATTAGTGGGGTCCCTGCCTGAGAATCCCCTTCCCCCACCCCAACAGCCCACGCCAGCCACCTGCTTCCGGCCCCGAGTCCCACTGAACATTGTTTCAGCCTGGGTCATGGCCTAATGGCACCTCTGGGCACCCGGTCAGAGCCAGGGAATACCACAGCTCGAAGGGTCAGCCATCTTATTTAATAAGTAACCCATGATTTACTGAGCAAGCCCTCTCCTTGGATCAGATAGCCTTACAATGTCCTGGCAAACCAGGGGCCCATTGTTCTAATGTGAATCAGGGCACTTCTTCACTCACTTACTTAGTTTTGAAAAGAGGAGTTATTCCTATAGCTAGAGTAACTTTCTTTTCTGAATAGGATACTTATAGATGAGTGTGGCCTGAACCCTTAATAGTCATATTTGAATTTAGAATGTGGCGACCTAGACGAGAATAAATATACAACTGTAATTTTTTTCTGTCTTCCCTAATCTCTGCTCCTTCTTAATTCTCTTTCTTTAATCAAAATTGGGGAACAAGGTTGGACAAGAGGCTAGAATATTTAAAATCTATTACATCAACAAGGAAAAAGAATCATCCACCAAAGTGAATATATATGCTGTTGTCTCCTTCTAATTGAAGAGGCCTAATTCTGATACTGAGGAGTAAGGGTCTCTTTTGGACACATACCAATTTGTTTTCTTTTATAAGTAACCTCACATTTCTTTGAGCTCACCTTGCCACTATCCCCTTTTATTCGGTCAAATTTAAGAGTCTGTATAGTACTTAACTCAGATATCCTGGAGAAGAATGTAAAAGCGGAGCTCCAACATAGACCAGCCTGACTGCTCTCAGAATCAATTGCTCCCTCATGTCTTTAGTACATCTAGTGGGGAGGCCCTAAAAATTGTAGTTTGACGAGTAGAGAGAAGGCAAGAAAGGAGTAGAAAAAATAAAAATGTATCTTTTTTAGGTTTCCAGCAGTGTTTTTTTTTTCTTTAGATGATTTAACTGCAGGTGTAAAAATGCTTCTGTTCCTTTGGCATGAAGATATTGGGATGTGCTAAGGGTAAAAGTCTCTGGGGGCCACCAAGTCCCTTGTCTCAGCTCTTTTTGGGTAGTCGTCTCCAGAGCCGAAGTCCATGGTTTCCGGGTAGCTGGAAAACTCCTGAGGTAGAGGGAACTCCTCGGCTGAGGAGTGAGTCCGGTGCCCGAACACCTTTTCCTGGAGCTCAGCGATGTCATTGCGGATGTCAGCCAGCATAAGTAGCAGGAAGTCGAAAGAACCAGGGGGTCCCTGTGCACAAGAGAGGAGTCAAAGCCAGAACCCCACAGACTCAGTCCTTTGCAGAGCGAGGGCTTCTATGCACTCCATCATTTGCTAGTCCCACTGCTTGCTGGCAACTATTTAGTCAATAATTCTTTGTGTCCCAAATGGCATAAACATAAGGATTACCATAGTAGCCTGTGGGATTCTTAACATTGCCTTCTAATTCCCTCATCTTTCATATGACATATTCATCTCCCTTCCTTCCTAATTGTAGGCTATATCAAATCTTGTGGAATGAAAGAATATGAGGGCCGGCTGAGTGGCTCAGTTGGTTAAGAGCTCGCTCAAGAGTTTGAGCTCTGAGCAACAGCAGTTCGAGACCCCGCCTGAGCTGAGCAGCCACTGAGCTGCCAACAGGTGGCAGGATGGCTCAGCTAAAAAAGAAAAAAAAAAAAGAAGAAAGACTATGAGAATGACCCTCCTAGGTTACTTTCCAAAGAAACCTGGAAGATACTACGAAGGCATAGAGGAATGGTTAAGAGGTTGGGGTTCCTTTGGGTTTGAGTCTCAGCTCCACTTACTAGCTGGTCTTGGGCAAGTAACTTAATTTCTTTGGGTTCCCATCTCTGCGACCATACAATTGGGATAATAAGAGTCCCAACTTCGTTGGGTTTCATAGAGTTCCAAGTGAATATTTAAATGAGTTGATACACGTAAAGGGCTGAGAGCATAACAAATGCTCAAAAATGTTGTCTTTCAAAACATGGAATTATTAAAATGTTTACAAGGATGTTTGACGATAACTGCAACCTAAATGAAGTTGAGAGTACCTCTGCGCTGACCTACTACTATCTTAGAAACAGCAGCTTACATTTGTGAATACTTAGTGATGTATAGTATTTGGACATCATCTGATGTTCACAGAGGCGTGGCAGGTCAGATTCCACTTGGCATTGCACAGGTGAGCAAATGGACACCCAGGGATGCTAAGTGACATGCCACAATCTTCCAGAGAGCTAATAGGCAGAAGAGTTGAGGTGGAAACCCAAACTTCCTACCTTTAAGGCTGCGGCTCTCTGTCTTTCTTTACAAATGACAGTGGCTCTTCAAAAGCATTGGAGTTGCTTGAACTTTCTCTGCTTTTGGATACTACTGATTTTCACTTTCCATCTCCTAGACACCACACATCTACCTAGCCAATTTCTCCTCACTGGTCCCAGGCAGCCCTGCATGTGTGCACTTCCTGGAGGGCATGGTCACATGACCTTCCAGGGCTGTTGCAGTGGCTACATTCCTAAGCATTCAGACTTACGATCGAACCCCATAGATTTCTTTGCCTGTCTCTTCAGATGTGTTATGACCTACCCGAAAACAGACTAATGGCATATTGGGGCTTTGAATCTGAGGACATCCCAAACAAAGATGAGCCATGATAAAAGAAAAAGCCACAGAGAACAAATTTAAAAAATCAATCCCAACTAGCTGCTGAAGGCCTCTGTGACTCTCCTCTTAACCACTGCTCAGTCGGGCTGAGTGATGGCTGGAAGGGCTGGCTTCTGCTAAAAAGCCCAACTTACAGGCGCGTCAGAGCTGCACCCCTGAGGACATTCCCACTGGGGAAGCAAGACAGGTGGTGCCACTTACCGGAGACCCTCTGGGTCCAGGTGCTCCCCTCTCCCCCTAAAAGCAGAAAGGTCACGGTTAGCTTTCCACGTGGATGCCACCACCAGTCTCCATAACCATCTCCCTGCACAAAACAACAAATACTTTTCTACCAGAAACAAATGTAAGCTTGAAGCTGGACTCATGGGACCACTTACTTGAAAAGAACTGCTTCGGTCAAGTGTCTTTCATTCTGATTCCCCCCTGAGGTCATATACTACTTTCACACCAGATCTGACAAGAGGAATGCTTATATTTCCAGGCAGCATGAGGAATAATTTAGGAGCTTTCTAAAGTAACTCACACTGACATGATGAGACAAGTAGCAAGCAGCTCTCAAAGTGAAACCAGCCACTTGCACAGGATAGAACGTCTCCTGTTCTTGATTTAAACATATGGAAGAAATGTAGGCACACCCAAAACAGCCCTTCACAAAGGACACTGGCTAAAAACACATGCTACTGTGACAACACAGGGGTTTAAGATTTATTGGGGTCATCTCTCTTAGGAGTTTTTGGTGCTTGTTTTTGTTATTATGGTTGTTTCATCGTTTAAGGAAATCGGTTTTTAGATTTTCTTCCCAGCTTTGGTGGGACAAGTGTATCTGTCTCAATTTTGCCACATGCAAAATGGGGACAGTAAACAGTGCTTGAGCTTTATTGAAATGGAGAAACCTTAGGCTTTGAAGGACCTCATAAGACTTACCTTAGACCCGTCTCTTCCCGGAGCACCTGGTGGACCCTACAAGACCAAGGGATCTAGTTTAACAGAAGCAGAAAGCAGGGGACAAGGACACAATTTCCTCAACAACAGTAAGTGGATCTCTGATAAAATACTGACCACAGGGCCCCTCCGGCCTTGCTTAATGTGGGACAGATCTGGAGATGGTCCCATGGGTCCCATTGAGCCCCGTGGACCGGGCTGCCCAGGAGGACCTGGTATACCCGGGAAGCCTGGGCTGCCTTTTGGTCCTGGCGAGCCTGAAAGCAAAGAACAGCTCATTAGCTCCACATCCCTTGAGGAGGACAAGGGTCTGAAAGCCCTTTTCGCTGTTTCTCTTTGCACTCTGCCCTTTGCCATCTGACACCTCCGCTGAGATGTCCCATAGGTATTTTAAAACGTAACACTATCTAAATTGACATCTTCCTCTCTTTTCATGAACCACCAGACACCTATCCACTCAAGCCAGAAACTTAAAAGTCTTACTATAGATTTCCCTATTTCCACAACCTTTGTATCATTTTACCTCTTTCACATCTCTCTCTTATAACTGACTGACCTCTGTATCGCCATGATCACAGCAGGGTGGTGGTTACCACAGCTGGACAGTGGTTAAAAGTACATATACGTTTCAGCATCAGAGAGACCTAGATCTGAATCTTGGATAAACTGCTTGACTTCTTTCATCCTTAGTTCCTCATCTGTAAAGCCGGGTTAATAAATATCTACCTTACGGAGTGGCCACATTATTAAATGAGATTTTTAGATGCATACACACATCACTCAGCATAGTACCTCACACACAGCAGCACTAAAAAACATCTGGTAGGCTTTCCTTGAATAATTAAGCCATAGTTAAAGGCAGTCAATGTTCCATTCAAACCTGTTTCACACCCCTACTCTCACTCAATGCTGCTTCCAGGTACCGCCTAAAAGAACTTACCTGGGAAGGGGACCAGGTCCCTCCTCTAACTAAATACTTTACCTCTAAGAGCACAAGGACAGGCCAGAGATAATATCTTACCTTCATTTACGTAATCAGTAAACTTCAGAGATCACTAGATGTCAAATGTCTTTAAAATGGCGGGGTGGGGGTGGGGGTGGGGCGGCTTTGATGTGCAAATAGCACCACTTTGTACATAACAGTGGGGGCAGAAGCAGCAGCTACTCCCTCACCACCGAAGCCAAAGGATTCCAACCCAGTTTCTGTTGGTGCCTCAACGAATCATAGGCCTTGGGACTGGACTTTTGGTTCAGGGTAAGATAGATCTTATTATTTCTCTAGCTGCCCTAACACATCTCTCAGTGAAGTGCATTACAAACAGATGCTGAAAATAAGGAGTCAGCAAGAAACAGGCCTGGAGGAGAAAGCGAAGGCACAGTCCATTGCCAAAGCTAGACCTCAGTCCCTACCTGCTCCATCAAGGACCCTGGACAGCTCAGAGCCTGCTGGAAACCAGATGGCAGAGCTGGAGGGGAAAGCCAGCAAGTCATATATTAAGAAAGATAGTCAACGGCTCTCTTGTTCCTAGTTTGTCCTTGTAAGAGTGATATGTAGACCGGCCTGGAGATGAACTTCCTGCAAGGAAGCCTGCTCTTAGAGTAGCGGGGAGTCCACTGTCCTAGGAATCAGTTTGTAGGGAGAGGTCCAAGCTACGTAGGAGCAACAAGAAGCTGCCTTGGTGAGGCATCTGCTGGAGGAAACGTCACCATGACCCAGAAAGCCTCAGGCCAAGGGAATGAATGAACAAGAGGCCAAACCAAAGTCCTGGACCAGTTCTTGCTCTCTGTATGGACTGAGACCCAGGCCACAAGTGTTTGGTAGAAACCAGGAGATTAAGATATAAGTGGAGAAGAAAACACATAAATAGCTTGGGAAGAATGTTGAGCCTTTGTTTCTGCTGACTTTCCAACCTCAAATCAGCCTGTGTCCTTCCTGTTTGGATGGATGCTACCAGGTTATTGTGTCCAGCTCAAAAACCACGTCCCCCATCACTGCAGGTTACCGTGCCCTCACCTTTCTATAAGCTCCCCCAGCAGGAAGCACTGGGTGCTTACGAGGGGCATGCAGACACTGTTTTATTCTATTCGCTTTCACTCTGTGTCTTGTCTTCCCAATTAGATTGTCAGTCAGGTCATTCATAACATCTAGCACTCTGCTATGTCCCTACTAAATGCCAGGGACAGGACACTTGATGTTTTAGCATCACTTGCTAACACTAACATTATTTCCTTTAGTGGAATCTATGGACCTATCTATGGAGGGACTCATAATGAATTATAAAACGTAACTATTTGTAAAAGTTCTCATTGCATATTTCCTGATGGAATGACAGGACATTTGGGATTTTCTTCAGAGTAATAAGAGTGAATCTCGAAAACAGTATGCTGAACGAGAGGAGCCAGGCAAAAGGAACACGGGCAACGAGGCTCATTGCTATGAAGTTCTACGACAGACAGAACTATAGTGCTACAAAGCAGGTCAGCGGTTGCCTCGAGTCGGGGATGGGGGAGTAGATTGCAAATGGATGCAAGGGGACTTTTTGGGGTGATGGCTTGATGTAGATATAGATACAGTGCGAGGGTCAGGAAGTGCTTGATACAGGATGGATACAGGTGTCAAAACTTGTTGAACCATAATTTACAGGGGTACATTTTATTGTATAGAATTGTATCCCAAGGAGGTTGACTTATAAAGAAAAATATGTAGGTAGATGTTTAAAAACAAAATAGATGCATGGTTGTTCACAAATAATAGGGGAAGGAGGAAATAGGACTAGGGGACAGTGGATGTGAGGCTGGCCATCAGTCGTCAGAGCTGGGTGATGAGCCCATGGGTTCACTATGCCGTTCTATTTTTGCATATGTTAACCTTAAAAAAATAATTTTCATTTCGTTTCTCCATAACTTCAAATGACCTCTAAGAATCTTATGCACACCCAGAATGATGACCTTTTCCTCCCAAATTACTGCTGGCTATGGGGGTTTCTGAGGCTTGAAGACCCCATTTCCCAAGGCCTTCTAGTCCCACAGGCTCTCTGGACTTCTGCTTCTGCTCTTATCTATGGAAGATTGAGAACCCTGTCCAGTCCCCACTAAGTGTGAGCTCTTGGCAGGCCATGGCTGGTGACTATCGTGCTCCCGACGCCCTTCTCCACACTCACCGGGAGGGCCCTGCCCCCCAGGCAGGCCAGGAGGTCCTGGAAGGTAGGCGTTTGAGGCCAGCACTTTGTCCCCAGTGATGTATTTGCCCAGGTCAGCGGCACTGTTGGGGAACAGGGCAACCTGCAGAGAGAAGAGGAGCCTCGGTTAGGAAGTGATAGCTCCACAGCCAAGGAGATTCTTCGCACGTGTGTTGTTTGCAAAGCCTTTTCATGGCAATTTCCCATTATCAGAGACAGTTAGGACTCAACAGGATTATACAGATCCTCCTTCTAAACCCAGAGGCCATCTATTAAAAAAGGCCACTCAGCTTGTTAGTGGACAAACCTCCAGATCACCTAGACATCACCACTAGACTCATTATTATGTAATTAATACAATCTACCTGTTTCTTTCAATTTGTTAAGGACTTTATGTCTCAACCATTTATTGAGTACCTACAATGTGCCAGGCCCTGTGCTTGGTTCTAAGGTGACAACAGTACCCAAGATATGATCTCTGCTCTTCAAGACCTCTCAGCCTTGGGAGCCAGGACCAAGAATGCAGCTTACAGGTCACCTGCATGCTCAGGTGTTTGGGAACTAGTAGGGAACAGTGACTGTGATTGTTTAAAAATATATCTACAAATTTTTGACACTCTTACCTTTAAAAAAGTGGAAGCTACTTTCCCACCCTTGGAGTGTGAGCTGGTCAGAGAGTCTTGCTTCTAATGAATAGGCAATGACAGAACTGACACAGTGTAACTTCTGATACTAGGTCATAAAAGGGACTGCGGCTTCCTCTTTGCTCTCTCTCTTGGATTTTAGGGGCTCATTCTAGGGGAAGCCAGATGGATCATACAAACGAATGACCTTTGCATTCCTGAGGTCAGGTAAGCTATGAATCTGTGAGACTTTAGGTAAAATGTAATGCTATAAACCTGTTTCTTCACTGATAAAAGGGAAGAATAACATCCACTTTTAGGGCTGTGAGGATTAAACAAAGAAGTGCATATCAGGTGGCCAGTACAGGACCTGGAACATACTAAGTGCTTGATAAATGGCATTCTAGTCTTCCTTACAAGAAGCTAATTCAAGGATGCAAAATCCAGCGAAGGGTACATTTCTGAAGGTCAGAGCTACTCCCAGGATTTACTCTGGATCCTGGGATGCTCACCATCCTGGAACTTCCTCCAGTGGGATTTTTTTTCTTTTCTTTTCTTGGAGTTCTTACTGAAGTCTATTGAGCTCAGGGTGTGAGGATGATCAGAGAGCAGGAAACTCAAAAAGGCATTAACACTGTCTTCATAAGGGGCCTCTCAGTGCCCTCAGCACTGTGCACACGGCACTCCTAGGAAGCTTAGGGGCCCTTCAGCTAGTATTAAAACCCTTGGTAAGGACAGCCTGGTGGACTCATGAGCTAGGAGATTCCTGCCACTCAGTGTCTTCTTCCATGCTTTGAGAAGACCTAGCATTCCTCGAGACATGCAGGAAATTGCACTCAATTCTGCTTTGATCACTACTCAGAATCCAGTAGGGATGAACATCAGAATAAAATCTTATGCAACCTGAAACTCAGCTTTGCACAATTTCAGGTCAGGACTCGTTGTTCAAAGTCACCACCAGGACCCAGCTGTGTTCCAGGAGTTTATTTACAATGGTGCTGACATCACCGTGTCACACAGCAAGCGAGTCTTCCAACCTGCACATGCGTGCCTGTGGTCCTGGGGCAGAGCAGGAGTGAACCAGCGAGGGAGGGAGATGTACAAGCAAATCCACTCTAACTGCAGGACAGAGAGTCAACACTGGCAGCTGAAGTCTGGCCCACCTTGATCATCTGCTTCCAGTAGAAAAACTGCAATATGGGTCCCACCTGTGGGCTTTGGCACAAGGCAGGCTGACGGCTAAATCTCAGCCCGGTCACTTTCTACCTGTGGGATCTTGGGTAAACTACACAACTGGGATTTCCTCACCTACAAAATGAGGATCATAGTGTCCACCTAAAAGTGCTGCTGGATGGGGGAAAGTGATGTTGTTTTGCATGCGCCTGGCCCAGTGCCCAGCCTGGTCACTGCTGGCAGCCAATACCATGCACACAGCGGAAAAGCCCTGCCTGGGGGAGGCTCTTGGCTCCGTTTCTAGGCAGCTGTGTGACTTGGGTTAAGTCCCTTCACCCTTCTAGGCTCTCAGCTTCACGTCTACAAAAGCGGGAGGTTTGGACCAGATGATCCTGTTTTTGGATTTACATTTTTGTAAGCAGCCCTGGAGAACGAGGCCTGCATGTGGAAGGACTTTAGAGATGCACCCGCACGCCCTTTCCATCGCTCTTTGCTGTTTGCTCCCTTGTGCAAGTCATGAGGCGATCCAGTAAGTGCTGACCGCCGGGTCCTGGCCACCCGCTGCTAGGTGACTACACCCTGGCTCTCTACAGCGCCTCTGTCAGCAGGAGGAGTAGGAAGCATAGGCACCGGCACCTTGGAGGAAGCTGCCCAGAATCCCCGGCTTGACTTGCTGCACAGACACAGCAGAGGATGGGATTGTGGGACGCAGGCGTTTGGGAAGGAAATCTTAGTGATTAAGAAGAGCCTGCGTCTCCTGGAGTCCAATGAAAGGAATTATGCATATCATTATCTCGTATGAGCCTTCGTAAGAAAGCATCCGCTTCACAGAGCTGTTGGGACCAATCAGTTAGAGACTGCCTGCAAAGCACTTTGGAAGGGCATACAATTAATGTTAATTATTTATTTGGTAAACATTTACAGAGTGCTTGCTAGGTGGCAGGTGCTGGACTAAGTCTTTTACAAACATTAACTCGTTTGATCATCACGAAAACCCTATGTGGTGGGTATTACTGTTAGCCTCTTTTTATAGGACTGAGGTACAGAGAGGTTAAATAACTTACCCAGGGTCACACAGCCAGCACGTGGTGAGACTTGGACTTAAACTGAGCCAGATTGCTTCTGGAATCTGTGCTCCTAACCACCACACCAACTTGCCTCTCTTAATATTATTAGCGACACTTGGCAAAGCAATCTCCAGTCACTGTCATATGGATGAGTCTTCCAGCAATCCTGAGAAGACCCATTTCACAGAGCAACTCGATCACGGTCGCAGAGGACGCCGCAAACCACTGGGAAGCCACAGAGTTGCCTGGCACAAAGGCAGCACTCGAGTGAGCAAGTGCAGCCACGAGGCGGCAAATCCGCTCACACTTCTGAAACCCCGCTGACCTCTAACTTCTGAAGCTTCGACTGCCGGCCCCACTCCGTTTGGCAATTGATGGTTGACTTACACGCCTGGCTTGGTTTCCCACATAAGACAGCAAGTTTGTTTAAGGCAGGACTTTATTCCATACTGTTTTGTATTTTCTCATCTCCCTGCCCACCTCAGGACATAGGAGGTGTTCCACAAACACTTCCTGAATCATTTATTCACGCTTCCTTCAACTGTCCCCCAGCGCCACTCTCACATCAAACGGTCCTTGCAGCAGGGACACATGTGACCTTAAAAGACTGGCTCCCTGGTTCTGATATTCCCTCCTTACTCTGATGGGCCTGAGACCCCTCTCTACAAGTTAATGACGGGTATCTTATCTATCCCCAAACCTCCCTTTGGAGCCAAATCACCTGTTGTTTTTTTTCTCTCAAGCCACAGAAGAAATTGTGGAGGTGGAGGTACTGAGGCCGACACACCATTTAAAAAAAACTTTTTATTGGAAAGCAGAAGCACAGTCGCTGGAAACCCCATAAAACAAATCTGTATCTTAGCACATTAGTATAAGGCAAGGAACCTTTGACGGAACGCCTACATCCAAACACAAATCCTTGCCAGCTGCCAGACGCCTCTGCACGTGCCCTGGCCCAATCAGCCTCGTCCTTCTCTCCAAAGCCACCACTATCCTGATTTTCATCACTTCCTGTGTTTTAAAACATAATTTACCACCCAACTGTGCACGCCTAGACACGAGGGTTTAGTCTTGCCCATTAAAAAACATATATATGTCAGTTAAAAGTTTCTTTTAATCTGCAGGTCCACCCCTTTCATTTCCTTACAATTTACTCATCGAAGGACCCAACTGCCTTGGGACTTTCCCACAACTGGGGTCTGGCTGACCGTCCCCTCACGGTGAAGTTCAACATGTTTGTGGATCATTTTACACTGTGGGTTGGCGAGGGTCCAGGATGCCTACTTCTTAGCCAGTGTTTGTTTGGGCAGATGGCCTATGCTCTATTTTGAACAGAACAGGTGGCATCAGCAAGGGAGAGATGAAGTTAAAAAAAACCACCTGACAATCCCAATACCGGCACAGGAGCCAAAGTGGGAGGACCTAGGGTTTAGGTGTTGGCTGCCATGTGGCCCACCTCTCCGAGAACATCAGCATCTTTCTCACCAGGTCACGGTGAGAAGTAAATGAGATCCTGTGTATAAAATGGCTTCATAAACTGCAGAATGCAACACGTTCTAATAGGCACCTTTAAAAAGGAGTTGCTCCTCGCAAAGTTCCTTGAATATCAGCATTAGCTCCGACTTGCCAAGTGCTTTTGCAGAATTCAGTACAAGGCGGACCAATCCTGGTCCAACCCAACCGCACGTGGGTCACTGGAGTACTAAGAAGTACCTGTATTTGGGTTTGTATGGTGCTCTACGACAGGGCCTTTAAGGGTGACAGGTGCTGTGACACCAAATCTTCAGCCTCTTAATATTTCTCCTTGCATGGAACGTAAACACTTCAGGGAGGTTAAGGGAAAGCCAGATGATGATTTTAGCAACTGAATTTCTGAACAACTTGTGAGGTTTAGCAGCACTGATCCGAATGATCTTCTAGAAAGAGCTCTCTCATTGCTTTCAGATTGTTAACTACACAGGAGAGGAAAGAGAGGGTAGCTTTAGGCCTTGAGACATTGGTCAACTGCCTCCCCACAGCTCGAATCCTCTGGCCTATGAAATGCAAACTTGCTTCTTCTGTGTATCTTTTGTTTTTATTTTTATTTGCCCAATCAATACTAATACCAATCCAAGTTCGACCTGAGGTATCTGTGTGGGATGTATTTATAGCTGTGTGTTTACACTGATATATTCCCAAAGGTTCTCTGCCTGGTCTCCCATTGGGATCACGAATTATTTAGAATCATGAGCACATGTATATACTATATGCCTTGGCTGAGACATTTTCAGACACAACGTACGAAGGGCCTGCAGAGCCATTCATGTTCTCGGCCTATGACCCTGCATGTCTCGCTGGCAGCTGCGGTTCTCACTGGGGGCTGCCTGCGTTTGTTGAACACGGAAAAGCAATGTTGTCTTATGCTTACCCCTTTGCCCTTTAGAATAACAAGATGCCAAAGTTAAATAGATTATATACACCTCTTTGATGTACTAAGAGCCTTGAGTGGAAGCAATTAAATAAACAAACCAGTGAGTTTATGTTTTATCAGCCTAAGCACGATTTCTGAGTTGCTGACAAACTGTTGAATTGACTGAACATAGGCATAAAAAAAATACCACTATCAAGAAATCAGGTCACCAGAGCCATCCCGGGGGCATTACTCACAGCATACCAACATTTTTAGAAATCTGATATTCTGTCGGCATGTGTGGGAGCCCTTTATAGAGTCAGTCCTCACCTTCAGTGACACTCCCCAAATGGCAGCTTTCCGAGTGCATGGAGCCCAGGCAAAATAGAGGCTATAATTTTTAAATGTGAAAAATAAAGCTGCTACAGAAATTCCTCATCAGTTTACAGAGAGGATGTTCTCCATTCGTAAAATCTAGACAAAATATTAGATAAAATAGGACTGCCTAAGTCTGCCCCAGGACCATGTGTCTGAACTTACTTTTGACAAAATGTCACAACAGTCATAGCTCATCCCCCACAGCTTCACCGTGTGCCCCTTACCCAGTGGTCTATTTGAACAGTCACCTAATTGATTCCCTGCCTTCGTAGGGTTCTGTCGTCCTTTAGAGGTTTCAGCTCTGAGGGTGGGTGGGCAACACATTCCAGCCAAACCCTAGTAGACACCAACCTCAGTGAAGGCTCCGTGAAGTGGTGGGTTTATCATCGTTTCTAAACATTCTCCCACCTTCTCTCTGCCCAGTCCTCCTTTCATTATACCGGACTGCGTCTAACGTCCTGGGCACTTACCTTTTGTTTCAGCTGCAGCACCGTCTGCTTCATCTGGTGGAACTCCTTGCATGTGGCACAGCAGGCTTCCTCCCTCACCGTGTTCTCCGACTTCTCATCATGCCCTGAGAGGGGAGACGGGCCTGATCAGGTCCGTCTGGGAGGCCGGAGAATATCCAGTCCCACAGAGACAGTACCATGAAAGGCAGACCTGGGGTAGAATGTGTGAGGGATAGAGGCTGGCGACTTGATAGGTCTTGGGTCACTGACAGCACGCCCGGGTCAGGAGAAAGGGGGAGAGGGGGCCCCCCGCTCCACTCTGGGCTCAGCTGTTCCCATTTAGGCATCCCCGCCTCTTCCTCTTTCGGTGTGAACCCTGGCCCCTTGATCAGCGCCCTTCCAGGAGGCAGGCTGCATCAGCGTGACATGATTTATACTCCCCCCTCCGAGCACCAACATTCACACATCGTAAATTATCCCCCACGCTCAGGCATTGGGACTCGGGATGCAGGGCTCATAAAGCTGGTCTTCATCATCGCTGATAATCCAGCTGCTCACAGGGAGCATGGCCAAGCCAGGTGGAGTCATAGATCGGGGCTGAGCACTGACCTTGGGGATGTGAAGCCGGGATGGAAAATGTTCCCAGCACGCTGGACACGCCCACCGGGGGCCAAATGGGACAGGCCCCGGGATGGCAGTCTGGCTGTCCCCTGGGAAGGGTCCCAATGGCATCTAGTAGAGCATGGGGAACTCTAAGGGCTTTTCGTGAAGGAAGAATGGGTGAGTTAAGTGGGGACATGGCTAGGAATTCAAACAGCTCTCATCCTACTGGCACGTAAACAGGGCTCCAGACACCTGTGTCCTGGGAGACCAGACACCTGAGGTCATCTTGCTACTGATAAGTTGGTGCAGACTGCCAAGGTCAGTGGTGTGGGCCAACGGGGGTGAGAGGCTGTGTGTTTTGTTGGGGGGGGGGCAGGACAGCTTGTCATCCAGGGCAGTGTAAACCCTGCTAGCTTAGGAGGCATTTGATGCTGGGCCAGGTGTGCTGTTTGTGTGACAGATAATCACACTGCTATCTGGGGTACGGCCCAGGGACAGTCGAATAACATCTCCCCCTCGTCACTCCTTGTGTGCCTCTTGGCCCGTGGGCTTTTCTTCATACTAGTCCTCTCTTCGGGGAAGCCCTCTTTGCGGCCTCTATTTGTGGAATCCTGCCAACTAGCAGGACCACTATCAAGAGTTCCGCAAAGCCCACCTCTCTATCTACAGAGACGCTGCAGGCCTCTGAGATCAGGTGGCATGTACCATGTGTCCCACTCAAAGGGCAGGTGTCCCAGGCTTCCCTGTAGAGGAACTACTCATGCCAGAGTGTGAGCCACTCTGGAGTCGCTTCTCGGTAGCGCACATAGTGGGTGCTCAAAAATTGCCTGTGAAATGGAGTGTTAGAGGTTGAACTGTCTCCCTTCCTCCAAATTCATGTTGCGTCTCCTAAGCGCCCCGTGCCTCAGAGTGTGACCTTATTTGGAAATAAGGTCATTACAGATGTCATTAGTTAAGATGAGGTCGTACTGGAGTAGGCGGGGCCCTAATCCAATATGACTGGTGTCCTTATAAAAACGAGAAATGTGGACTCAGAGAGAATGCCATGTGAAGATGAAGGCAGAGATCCCATGATGCAACAGAAGCCAAAGGTGACCAGCAAATCACCAGAATCTAGGGGACATAGTCTCCTTGACAGCTCTCAGGAGGAACCAACCCTGCCAACACCTTGATCTCAGACTTTTAGCTTCCAGAAGTGAGACAATGCATTTCTGTCATTTAAACCACCCACTTGGTGGCACTTTGTTATGGGAGCCCTAGGAAACTGATACATGGATAGATAGGCCAGGTGTCAAGAGAGCCCCACTCTCGGGTGAACCTTGCTCATGCAGCCACACTGATCTCTCCAACAAAGTCAGTCTCCTGCCTGGTGACCTACAAGGTGTTTCTGCTCTTTGGGAGGTGACGGGGCCCAGGGACAGCTTGGCAGCTGAGATCTCTGAGTACGTACCTGCAGCAAAGTGGTGGGTGGTTCAGAGCTCACCTGTCACATCCTATCCCTTCACCTCACAGGAGGCCCAAGGCTTGGAGCACATGTGCTAGAAACACATTTCTCAAGCCAGCAGGCTGAAGCAGCTGAGGCAGTGCTCTGTCTAGCTGAGTTGCCATAAAGCAACACTGTGATTCTTGAAAATACAGGGTCAACCGATAGCTTAGGTTCTGAGTGTGTGATTGGGGAAAACACTTGGCTGTCTGGGAAAGTGGCAGTGTCTTTTTAAATCCATCTATGTGTATGCAATATAACAGGGCCACATTGCCAATTCCCACTTTTCTAGTGCATTCCGTCCTACCGGTAACTTCCCCTTGCAGGTCCCACCCCCGTGTTCCATTGGTGCACATGGGGAATGATTGACTCGCACTGCGGCTGTGTAATGATGATTTGATTTATGAGGAGGACTAGGAACAGAATTAGTCCTGTTGGAGAGTGTGCTTGGAGACAGTGAAGGGGAACGGTTAAGGGCACAGCTTCCAGAGTCATATTGTCCAGGGTGCATATCCAAACTCTGTCACTGACTAGCTCAGGGACCGTGGCCAAGTTGTCTGACCTCAATAAGCCCCAATTTCTTCAACAATAACATTGGAATAATAATTGCTACCACACAGGGCTAGTGTGTGATTAAATGACGAAATGCATGTAAACTCCGTGGCACAGGGCCTGCTGCTAGTAAATGGGAGGGTGCTAGCACGGTCTTCAGATCCACCAAATCCTTTGCGTCCCCTTCGCCTGATAATCCCAGAATCCTTGAACGACCGCATTAACACGAACAACACAATGAGAGAAAGCCAAGATTTGATGACATCCTGAAAATCATCTAGCAAGTTAACAAACAATGTGGGTTGACAGTTGAGGTTTCCTGAATCTGAGTCCAGTGACTTTTTCATAAATCAGGCAATTTCCTTTGGGCTCTTTATCCTTCTATAATGCACCAATTTATAATCCTGCTTGCCTATGGCGCTGGAACTCAACTGATGAGAACTAGGGTTATTTATATCAGTCTCCAACATAACAGATGACACAAAGGAATTTCTATGCAAGAGTACTCTTAGTGGTAAAGTACTAAAAGTCTTAACCAACTTTGGTTGTGCTCATGGCAAAGAATGGTGGACTCTAGCATAAATAGATGACCCCGACGCCAGGTTTATTAGGTTTGCTAATATTTATGGACAGCTGGAAGACATTAATCTCTCCCAACCTAGCATTCATTCATTCCATCCCATCTACCGGTCAGCTGACACAATCCCACCCTATAGCCCATCTACCTATCTCATCCATTCCATCTTTCCACCCACATCTCTCTCATCCGTTTATCTGTCTGTCCGTTCGTCCATCCGTTCATCTACCTGTGCCTCTGTCTCTTATCTCTCTATGGAGGGTCTGCTACTCATCGGGCCCTGTGTGAGGCATTGAGAACGCAAAATAAACGAGGATACCTGTTCAACGATTTGTGATCGACCTTCCCTTTATGGAACTAGTCCTGTTGGCAGAGCCAGCCCATCACGAGCAAGAGTCAAAAGTCCCTTTCCATTTCTACGTTTATATACTTGGTGATATATATATATGTGTGTGTGTGTGTATATATATATATACATATATATGTATATATATACTTGGTGATGTAAGACAATCTGATGTTTTCATGATAATAAACCTCTTTACCAGTTTCTAGGCTCTATTTCGTCATGCAGTGTTAGAACTGATAGATCTTTAGTCCAATCTCCTTTACAGATAAGGAACATAAGAACCGGAGAAGGAAAGGAACTTGCTTTAGGTCCCTCAGAGTGCTGTGTGCAGAGGCTGGGCACTTGAAGACTCGGAATCAGGCATCGTGGGGGTGCAGCGACCCTGCCACTGGGGGTTCTGTTCAGAACACCTGAGAGCAATCTGCCAGTCTGACTCCAGGTTAGTGGTTGTCAAGTGTGATTGCCAGACCAGCACCAGCAGCACCACATGGGCAGCTGTTCTCAGAGATCCGGAATTCTAGGAGTGGGGCGAGTGTACAGTTCTAGCAAAGCCCCCCACGTGACTCTGAAGCACATGCACAGTTCCAGGAAAGCAGCTGTGCTAAGTGACTTTTTGCCTGAAGATGCCTAGCCTGTCTTCTGTCCCTTTTGTGAAGTTATCAGCACACAGAGATCCAGATGAACTTTGTCCCAAAGACTTCTGACGCTTCCACAGAGAAAGAGTCACATTGTAGCAAGGAGTGTAGGCTCTGGAAGAGTCAGATGATGAGGACTAGAATCCTGACGCTGCCACTTGGTTACGTTTTAGGTTGGAAGTCACAGCTTCTGTGAGCATCCGTTCCTTGAACAGTAAAAATGACCATGGTGCTTACTGCCTGGGATTGCGCCAATGAAATGACACCTGAAAGTTTCCAGAACAGTGCCTAGTACACGGCAAGTGCTCCATAAATGTTAATATTATTGCTATTGTTCTCTTCTTTTAAGTTACCTACCAAATTACAGATGCGGCGTAGGGCTCGTCACATCGTCCTTTGGAAAGCGCTCTCAGAGGTTTTAAAGATAACTAATTGTGTGTGGGTATGGAACGTGCAGTCTGTTCTGAGTTGAGGCTCATCTGTCCTGCAATTTATCTACTATGGTGTCAAATGTGGAGCTAAAAGAATCCTGTGTATGCTACATTAATAATTCATTTAGAAATCTGGGCAGACATCTCTGACTTCGCATGTTTTCAGTCCTCTCAATTAATACTATAGTCATTGACGATTTCTGGCAGTGACCATGACCATGTGAAGTGAGGTATAACTTAACATTTTGCTCGAGCTTGTCCAGATTTTAAAGGTGCAATATTATGAACTAGCCACATGGGGGCAGATAGCTCTAATTTTTACTGATGGTGCACAGGCTTGACACACATCCTAAGTGTTAGAAATAGATTTCCTTAAATACCATATCAGTAATATTTAATAAACTGAGAAACACTACAGAATGTTCCCAACATATTTCATATGAACAGTGTCACAAACGCATGAAGAATGTTTGTGTTGAAAAGTTGATAATGCAGACTGGTGCCCTGGCAGTAATCTCAACCCTGGTGGCACATTACAACCACTTGGGGGAGCTTTTAAAAATCCCCCTGGTGTTGTACTCCACCCATCTGAGAGTCACAGCAAGGGAACAAACAGTATCAGCATGTTTTAAAGCTCCTCAGGTTGAGAACCACTGATCTACATGTGGATTAGTGGAGCTTGAAAGTTATATGAAACACCTGGCCGTTCCTGACACTTTGAACTAGAATAAGTGACACTGGCCGGGGGCAGGGGTGTTATGGTCACTTTATCAGAAAGTAAACAAAAGTTGAAAAAATAGAGACCAGTAAGCTAATTACTACGGAGCCAGCATGTCCTTCATTTATCTCCCCATCAGGGCTACACGGACTCCCTGGAGTGGCTAAACTGGCTCCAGCTACATATTTTCAAAGAGAGAATCAAAGTGGCTAGCATGCCATTCTTGCCTATTAGCCAGACGTGTCACCATGCCTGTGTGTGCATGGCAGCCTTTCAGTTGTCAGAGACAGTTCGGAGGTTAGCCCTTTCTGTTCTCCGCTGGCTTTCTGAATTATGAGCTGGGGCTGTCTTCTGTTTTAAATTCCTCTGACTATAACGATACAGGCTTTGGACAATGCAAAGTTAGAAGAAAAAATAAAACACAGGAGGAGGGCAAGGAGGTTTTAGATTACACGTGTTTATACTCAATAATCATTACCTCTTTGTCAAAAAAAGATTGTGGTGAAATATTTGGCTTCTTAATTAGTCCGACACAGATGAAACCACTTAGCTGCCTCTGAAGTTCCAGATACAGGGCTCGTCTGGCCCTTGGCTTGGCTTGTTGCTGAGCTGAAGAGTTGGATGTTAATTATTCATCTTTTAGATAATGTAAGGAAAGTTCTCTGAACATGAAATACTGAGCAATTCTCGTATGATGCTGCTGTTGCTGCTGGTAGCGGGGCCATGCGAGGCTATAGACACTGGTGTCGTTTCAGGATTTTTAAAAAAATTATTTGAGGCCATTATATTTCGAGGAGGAGGAGGAGGAGAGAGTTTGCAGCCAGGCGAATCTGTAAGTTTGTGTAACACTATAAGGCTCAATGGTAGAGCCACCAGACAGTCCTTCCTGATGAAACAGGAGGACATCTCCCATTTAAGTCCCTGTTCACTGGAACACCCTGTCTCTCTGAGTGGCAGAACAGAGGGGTACCCTCCTGTTTCGTTCATCAGATGCTGTGCTGTCTGCAGCCAGTGGCCTCCTTCCAGACCTTGTGCTTCATCTGAAAACATCCTTGCCTGAAAGTCCGCCAGATGACTGAGCTCCAGAGCTCAGAGTTTTGATGCTCATAAGTTAGAATGTCTCAAACTGTATTTTTTCAGGACACCATCGTCTGGGAGATGTTTATAAGTATTATCTTAAAGAACTAATTTTGGGAAATTCAGGTTTAATCAAAATTAACATTTTTTTTAAATGGCAATAATTTGTCTCAGAGCTTTTGATGTGCTTGTATCATGAAACCCTAAGGAATAGGTGCAGTACCCCATTTTTCCCCAAACACCTGCGTGCAGAAGCTTCTAAAGTAAGCAAAGCTGAGTAGCACCACACAAAGGACCCCAAAGTCCTATAGCACACACACTTTGGGGAAATGCTGTAATAAATGGTTGAGATAAAATATGCCTTTACATGAAAGTAATACTAGAGAAGGTGCAAAAAATGTTGCAAATACATATCCCTTGTAATTATGACTGCTCAGTTTTTTTCTTTTTTTTTTTTACTGAATTCTCAGCTATAGAGGTCAACCTGATTATGGCTTAAATTAAATTCTCGGGCTCTTGTACTGAAACTTTTTGTGTGTTTGAGAAATTTTTAAGGAGTACAATTGATTTCTCAGGGAAGAAAACAGGCATATGGTCCCGGGACGGAGGGAGCACCACAGACAGCGAATTTCAAAAGTGCAATGAGACCTTTCTGTGCCCCCGCCCTGTCGCTGGGCTCCTCTCTGGGTTCGCACTGCCAAAGCACAAAGCAGGAGGTGAGGGCCACCAAGGCCACCTTGTCACTACTCGGAGCCATCCCTAGGGAACCACACAGCAGAGTAACTGCATGGGGCTGTTGCTGCTGCCATGGGATGTGGTTGCAGAGTCTAAGAAGTATTGCAAGAGGTGGAGGCCGCCTGAGACCAAAGAACCAGTGAATTCAGCATATAAAATCCTACCCTAGTCTCTGCAAATTCCCTTCAGCTTCTCTGGTCTCTGCCAGTTAAGGTTGGGTCTCTGGGTAGGCTGCTGTGCCCCATCAGGTGGGAACTAACTGCTCGTGGGCAGGACCAGGTCTTATTATCTGGAGAGCCCTACAGTTTGTTCCCACCCTGATATGCAGCAGCCAGCAATTTTTTTTTATTTATTTTTTCTGTTTCTGATGGTTGTGTTGTAGATTGGGTTGCTGGACATGGCCCTTAATGCCCACGTAAACAGGATTTCACCAGAATAGAAATGTGAAGCAAAGACACCATGGAGTTGCCAGCTGAGTAGCCCATAGCCTGCGGTTTTCTTGCCTAAAGAGCATGGCTGGAAATCCAACTCCCAAATGAAAAATTAGAAAGCTGCTTTCTTGGTGCTAATTCTCAAGTCAGCCGACACATTAACATATCAGTGACTAAAAGGCTGCTCCTCAGTTTTCAATGAGATTCTTCCTTTCAATAAAGGACATAATTTAAGAGGTAGGTTACCCATCCTGCCTCTCCCCCACCTCCTCCACCATGGAACACAAATGAAGTGATTTTTATTTTGAATTAAAAAAAAAAAAGCCACCCGCAAACATTTTTCCTCAGTCGGCCCTTATACCAGAAAGGCTTTTTACCCCGCTTTGAGCACACAGGCTTCAGGCTTTAAATAGTTGTCACTGGGCGCTCTGATTCATTCAAATTGTCCCCAATTGCCCAACTCTGAGCTGGCTCCAAACAGTTATTTTGTATCTCCTTCTAAGACATGGTGACTTCCTCATGACTCAACTTGGTTGTTCCTCATAGTTTTGCTTTGTAGTTTTTCTGTGTGAGGCAGCTGGTCCCCAGCTGTTTGCTGTCCTGAGCTGATGGCAGCTGCCTTCACCCTTTTCTGAATCTCAGGCTACACCCAAACATCACTAGCTCCTGAGTGCCCAGACAGTTCTGGCCTTTCATCTCCCTGCATTCCTTGGTACCTACAGTTTGCCCCCTCCCCACCTACAGATGCCGGAGGGCCTGCTAGCTTCTCCCACAGAAGCATTCCTGCCACTCTCCCTCCCAGAGGAGACAGCCGAGAGCTGAGCCCTGAGCTCTGGAAGATGACAGCAGTTTCCTGGCCTTGTATGTGCTGCATACACGAGAACAAGGGCTGCCTCCCTTTTTCCTCCTCTTAAATAAGGAAGTAACCCAACCTGCGGGCTGATCCGTTCCCTGAATGATCAGACATCTCCGTTAAATCTGTTGATATAATGTAAGTCAGCTTCCCAAATGCTGGGAAGAAAGGCCTGCTTTAAAACTTTCTTCCGGCCGGCCAAGTGGCGCGATGGTTAAGAGCTGGCTTGGGACGCCAGAGGGCCCCGGTTCGAATCCCACATATGAGGGCCAGTGACACTGCCCTCTACAGCTAAGATGCTGAACAACAGCTCAACCTGGAGCTGGGCTGCTGTGAGTCGCCGGCGATGGCGTAGGCTGCAGCCCCTGTGGCGGTGGGTTGCCATGGGCTACCGTGTGTAGCCAGCAGCCAACGTGAGTGGTCAGTAGCCACAGTGAGCGGCCATCCAGAAGCCGGCGACTGATCTGCCTTGCCCGGGAAGAGCGCAATGATGGTGCCAACTTGGGCCAGTGAAGCAATGTCCTCCACAACTAGACTGAAGAACAAAAGGACAGCAACTTGTCTGTTCCCCTTCCCCCAATTCCCCAGCACTGTTCCCATCCCCCCAATTCCCCAATAAAAATCTTTAAAAAAACAACAGCAAACAACTTTTTTCCACTTTGTGGACTGTTTTTGCAAAATACAATTAAAATGAATTACTAGAAAAACAAAACATAAAATGCCAGCATACATCCTTGGATTTAGACAAAATGTCTCTGTCAAATTGGAATAAAAGTTTCTAAACATTCTTAACTTCTGTTTTGATCCAGTCATGAACCAATAACAAATATTGGTACCAATAACAAATATGTTGGGAAAGTCCTGACGTATTTTTTCTATGTTTTTCGTTGCAAAAAATGCGTCATGACTTTTCCGACAACCCAATAGTTTGTGGGTGGGCCTAGGGCCATGGACTATACTTTGAGCAGCGCGTATGTAGACTGTTACCTTACATGGAAGTGTTTCCTGTTTATATGCAGCCCATTTTCTTTGAACGAACACAGTGCTTCTAGCCTCTTCGCTGCTCATCCTAGTTTGCTCTAAGCATGTAACTAAGTTCTAGTGATTTGTCCATGAGCACACACCACCTCTGCTTGTGGACAGCTTCCTCAAATACACATCCTCTCACAACGCTGGCTGCTAACAGACACCGCTGTCACCAGGTCTCTTTAGAAGGGGCTTGACCTCATGTCCTACCCTTCTCTTCCCCAAGTCCTACCTACCATTTGTATAAAGGCCCCTTCCTGCCCCTGAGGAACCTCGCTGGGCTCCGAAGTGCCTGCCTATCCATCCATCCATCCATCCATCCATCCATCCATCCATCCATCCATCCATCCAATTAGAGGAATAACTTTACTTGCCCTCCTCACCAGTGTCATTGGGGTATTTGTCTCCCTTGGTGCATGTCCTCCCGTCGTCCTCCTGGATGTAGCCCTCCCGGCATTCACAGCGGTAGCTGCCCAAGGTGTTGACACAGATGTGTGCACACAGTGTCTCGTTGCTGGTGGTGCACTCGTCGATATCTGGATTTGAACCAAATGTAGACAGCACTCACTTGCCAAGAACTCGCTTCTAACACAACAGGTGACGTGAAGCTTGATTGGCCCTTCTGTTGATGTCTGCAAAGCACGCTTTGCCAGACCTCTATCAGAGACGCCTCAATTAAAGGAGGGAGCTAGACACCTGAGTGACAGGAGCACCTCAGGCAGTGTCAAACCATGGTGACAAACACATCAGTGATGGGGTTCCTGGTTGTGGCTCTGCCACCACCAGATCATGTGGTTGGTGCAGGCATTGCTAGCCTTCAAAGTTCTCACCTGTCAAGCGTGACAATAAAGCAGGGCTCCTTAGAAGAGAAAATGAGATATCCGATGGTGATACACTTTGAAAAGCAAGCATGATAGAAACAATTTTCTGCAAGGACCCCAGTGTGCAGAGGGCTTTATATTCCCTTTTATGGCTGTAGGTTCCAAACAGCACGAGGGTGACCCAAGGTCACTTAGGAATGGCTCCTTTCCAGCTAAGAGACATGATGGCACCTGGGAAAAGGCACTTCTGATAAAAGAAAACAGTCATAATGGGTCTAACAGAGAGTTTTCCCCAGGAAATTTTGGCCTCTACAATGACCCAAACAGACCCCTCATGAGCTATGGAAATGAGCCGTGAGACCATCAAACAAGTAACCACCAAGAGTCCACATGAACCGGGCACATCACAGACTTGCTCCCCTACTGAATGGGGTGGAAACAAAACTTTCCCACCAAGGGAAGAAAGGGAGGACCAAATCTGTTTCCTGTTCATTGGCTGAAGATGCCAGGAGCTGTGACACACGGCCTTAGAATGTGCACACGTGGTGGCAGACAGAGCCCAGTCCTCACTTCAGGATCCCGACAACGTCCCAACTACTCCCTGGACCAGCTGACCAGGGCCCGCCTCTGGCAGGCCCTGCATGTGCTGCAGGCAGTGTGGTCATTTGGGGGTTTCCTGGGCAGTATATACTATGTCATCTGTAGACTAAGATGTCACAGCTGGATCCGCCTCTGTAATTCCAGGCTGACCACCTTTCTCCACGTGCCCCTACCCTAAACCTAAACGTGAAGCTGCCTCTACTGTCTGGAGGGGGGAGGACGAGGTTCAGAGGAGAGAGAAAAATAGATGGAAACTTAGCAGAAAGCTGGTTTTGCTGACCCCCAAATGAAAAGAACAGGGTACCCTGCCACAAACTGATATAGATCCCCTGTGCCTGGGACATCAGGGGTACAGAATGGCATCCCATGCTCTCTGTAGGAGAGGCCACAAGTTCCCACCCCATTCACTTGGTGGCCTCAATCCCCTTGTTTTTCAGTGTAGGGTGCCACCCCAGGGGTGACTAGGGAGAAGCTAGGAGACCCAATATCTAGGACTTCTCGTAATGGTGCTTAGCGCCCGTGCCGGAGCAGGGAAGGAGGGGCCACTCACCGCAGCTCCTTTATTTTCCCCTTGGGCCCATCTGCCAGACTCCTCACTTCATCCTCAAGCTGATTCGCACACTTGACTGTGCGTATGAATCACTAGAGGCGTTTGTATAAATGCAGATTTCCATAGCCAACCTCCGAGTCTGGAGGGGAGGCCAGGAAATTTTTTCTTCTTCTTGTTTTTTTTTTTTTTTTTAAGCAAAAACCTCAGAAAGGTTAGCCACAGACTTACCACACTTTGAAACCCACGGCTCCAGGAAACAATAAACCTGTCTCAGAAACTCAAAGAGTGCGGTGCTGGGAAGCCCAGTCAGGGAGGTAGGAAGGGAACGCGCCGGTGGCAATGGATGGTGCTGGTCTGGCTCAGCTGCAGCCCAGGTGGTTGGCTTCAGCTCCCTCTGACTCACTTCCAACGTGTCTGCCATATGGACACTGCTCTCTCCCCGTCTCCTTCTTATCCCTCCTCTGAGAGAATGCTTATTCTTGCCTTGGCCTTTCTGTGTTGTTACGTTTCTGCTCACTTATGTTCTGTTTCACATTATTCTAGTTTTCATTTGCTAATGGTCCCCATCTCCTTGCTCTTATATCTCACTGCCCATTAGGATCTGACTGGTGCCAACTCCCGGAAGAATTCTTTGGCCATAATTTGTATCAATAACCAAGATGAAGGGCAATGACCCTCTAGGATAATACGGACACAACTCCATCCAACAAGCATCAGAACCTAAGGAGAGGAATCAAAGATCAAAGCGGCTCCTGTGAGCTGGTCCCACTAAAGAATAACGTCCAACAGAGGACAGTATCACACGAATAAGGCATATCCCCAGGAGCTGGAAAATATGTCTTGCCAACACACCCAGGCAGTAGGGCTTTTCCCGTTTCCGGTGTCTCTCTCGGTCGTACCGGTATCCCGGATAACAAGTACACAGCACACGGCCGAAGTTATCTGTGCACTGCTGTTCACAGGGGGCCTCGGCACACACATCATAATCTGAAAAAGAAAAGCACGCGCTCACATCAACCACAGTCATTCCATAGGGAGAGGTGGGGTCACTCGGCCCTGGTCACCCACTTAGACTTTCTGGGTTGTACTCTGCTCGAGGGGAACTGTGAAGTGTGACCAGCTATGGTTAGTGGGGCATTAACGCTTCAGGCCACGGGGCACCTTTTAAGAACACCTCAGTGGGAGACACAGTGCTCAGCTTCGCAGTGGTTAGGAGCAAATGCCACTTGTTACTTTTCCCAGGGTCATCTCCTCATCCTTTGGTCATTGTCGTTGATGCAGAGAGCAAACGTGCCTAGATGGCCAGGCTCTGAAGCCATACCTGGGGCCTGGTTTGTTTGTTTTTTTTTTTCACCAACTGCTGCAGAGACAGGGAATTCCTTCCAGCTGAACACAGCCCTGGTGATGGGCGCTGGCATCATAACGTGGGAGCAGGGCTGAAGTCAGGCTGGCTGCGAGGCCTGTGAGGGAGGCTTTGGAATGGAGACGTGTGTGAGTTACTAGAGCGTGTGTGTGTTGTAGGTGTGCATGCTGGGGTGGGGGAGGGGTTGGTTCTGCATGCTGAGAAAGGGTTGGGTATGGTTGAATGGCTAGAGATCTTGTTCCAGCCCTAAGTCTGCAAATTGGGGTGGGTGGTCTGTTACTCATAAAGACTTAGAACGTCTCCTTCTCTCAGTCCCGAGGAACTGATGTTTAACGAGCCTCTGAAGGGACTTTGGCTCTAAGTCAGGAGCTCAGGCTGAACATTTACTTGCTGACTAGATCCAGCATCTCATTAATCACTGCACTATCTTCCCCAGGTGCTGACAGACACACTATCCCTGGACACGGCATGGGCCTGGCTTTGCTTTGCCGCATATGAAGGTGGAATGGTGGGCTGTCAGCCCCTGATGGGGGCGGGGTCAGTGTGACAAGGCTCATGCCATTCTCATGATAACCTGGAAAAGTGCCCTTGCTAAATACTTCTGCAATTCCAGGCCTGCTGCGCCTGTGTGTGTCCCCGGTCAAACATGTTTTTCTTAACTAAACGTCACCTCTAGCCATCAAGGCTCTGGGTTCGATACTTCTGCTGCCCATGGGCTCTCGCATGGTTATTGAATGGCTACTTTGTGGCAAGTCTTGTTCTAGGAGGATGACACAAGGAGAGTGCAGGTTTCCGGAGCCAACCCTCCCAACTCTGCCACTATCTCCGTGATCTGGGGTTCTTTGAGCCTCAGTTTCCTTACCTACAAAATAGGGTAACAATAATACTGACCGCATGGTGCTTTCATGAAGATTATACGGGATGATGCATTAAGCTCAGTGCTTGAGATAGACTCAAAGCTTTACCTGCTCTTCTGCTTCTTACTAGTTCTTACGCTTCTTCGGGTATCTGGCAGGGACTTTGTCCCCTGGAGTAACTGGCACCACTCTCTTCCTAAAGTTGATGCTCAATGAATAATTGTTGAACTAGAACAAATCAGATCACCCTGTCACCTGACCAGTCAAGATAACATGGCAGTATAGATGATGTATTACAGAATTGTACACCTGAAACTTATGTAACTTTCCTAACCATTGTCACCCTAATAAACTTTAATTTTAAAAAAAAAGATAACATAGCAAGGGGTAGTAAAATATATCTGATTGGCCAAATAATATTTTTGGCTTTGTTGCAACTACTCACCTCTGCTGTTGTAGGGAAAAGTAGCCACAGACAATACTTAAGTAAATGGGTATGGCTGTGTTTCAATAAAACTTTATTTACAAAACAGGTGGTGGGCCGGATTTGGCCCATGGGCATAGGTTGCTGACTCTTGATTTAGCGCAACAAATAAGAGGCAAGAACACTCTTAAATTACAGCTTTACTCATTAGTTTATATTTGTTTAGAAATTCTAGTCTCTTTTTACTATCTGTGATGGTGAATTTTATGTGTCACCGTGGCTAGGCCACACGACCCAGGTATTTGATCAAACATTATTCTAGATGTTTCTGTGAAGGTATTTTTAGATGAACGAAACATTTAAATCAGTAGACTTTGAGTAAAGCAGATTCTCCTCCATAATGTGGGTGGGCCTCATCATCCAATCAGTTGAAGGCCTTCATAGAAAAAAGACTGATTACGGCAGCGGATGGCCTTTGGACTCAAATCTCTCACTGTGTCCTGGGTCTCCAGTCTGCCACCTACGCTGCAGATTTTGGACTTGCCAGCCTCCACGCTCTTGTCAACGAATCCCTTAAAATAATTCTCTCTCTCAAGGGTGCTAATGAATACACCATCCTTTCTGAGAACCTACATTTATACTTAGCATTCTTGGGCAATGGAAACCTTTATGACTAACGATATCTTTAGTAAAAGACAAACAAACAAACATTGACTTACGCCTGCCGATTAAAACAAATTACCTTTTAAAAGTGTTCCAGGGAGCACCAATAGAGAAGAGATAGTTAGGTAAGGCAACACAGCTTTCAGCCCTTGAGACCGCTTTTCCTGGAAATACTCAGTTCTAGGTTACATTAATCATAGGTGCTGTAGTCCCACATTAGGGTGAGGGAGGCCTCGATGTTTGAAACCACAATACCTAACATTAATGGGAACTCTAAATGTGTGTTATCCACGTAATGTGTTTTAAATTAGGTTGGACAAAGTCTTCAGTTGGGATCTTAAATTGGTTGGCCTAAACTTAATTTTCTTTCTGTATCTGCCAAATTGAAATATAAAAGACACAGCTGGTGACTGAGAAAAGCTGGCTTATAAAAGAATGTGATTATTTTGACCTTTGTGGGGTTTTTTCCACCAAGCTCTAACCAATGGAATTGGCTGGCAGTGAGAACTTCAGTCTTGGAGAGACCCAAGGCCATATAAACCATCACGTGTGATCCTAACCAGCCTTCCTAAAGCAGCTTTCTCAGGGGTTACAGCTATTTCATGAACTCTGCCATCCTTCCACAGAAGAGAGCAGTCAACAGGAGGGATTCACTGATTTTTAACCAATAAAGACACTGCTGTCCATGAGATAATGCCACATGAATTAGCTTGGCTGGGTTTCTTGATAGAGACCTGACTTCTTGGGTCAACCGTAACAAAAACTATTTCACATCACCTCTCCCCAGCCCCGAGCAAACTAATCTCATGCTTTTCAAACACTTCTTAGTGCTTTCTGTGTCCATGCTGGAATCCTTTGCAGCTTTCTTCTTCTTACTTGTCTAAGTCCTGGGCAGCCTTCCTGGGTAACATAGCTCAAGTCTCCTTCCAGAGACCACCTCTGGCCACCCTGGTCCTCTGTGCTATGTGCTCCCTCTGCCCACTTGCTGCACTGAGGGCCTCTATTGCACACATTGCAGTTATTATTAACAACAGCAGCCACCACAGTTAAGAGTAACCATCACTCACCAGGCTCTGTTCCAAGTACTTTGCATGTAGCAATATTCTTAAAACCACCATAAGTCAAGTACTAAGACTTTCCTGCAAAAGCTAAGGTTTAGAAAGTAACCTGCCCAAGGTGATAGCTAGTAGGATGTGTGTTATAGACCGTTTGTGTCCTCTTGAGATTCATATGCTGAAGTCCTAGCTCCTAATGGGATGGTATTAGGAAGTGGGGTTTTGGGAGGTGATTTGGTCATGAGGGCGGAACCCTCATGACTGGGATTAGTACCCTTATAAAAGAGACCCCCAGAGAGCTCTCTTACCCCTACTGCCACCTGAGGACACAGCAAGAAGATGGCTGACTATGAACCATGAGGCTCTCACCAGACACTGAATCTTTCAGCACCTTGATCTTGGACTCCCCAGCCTTCAGCACCGGGAGAAATAAAGGTTTGTTGTTTAAGCCACCTGGTCTACAGTATTTTTGTTATAGAAATTAAAATGAGCTAAGGCAACATGGAACCACGATTGAAATCCAGGCCTTTCTGATTCTGCACTGTCTCCTGTCTCCTCAGCTTGAGGGTGCGTGCCTTGAGGGCAGGGTCCATGTCTTACATCGTTCTGTGCCTCCAGTGCTGGGCTGCACACAGTGCTTGCTGATGGTCACGTGAAGGGGCTTCATGTTGAACACATGAAAAGCAGGTAGAGAGGTTGGGGAGGGTGGTCGTGTTCTAACTCCAAATGAAATGCTGATTAGAGAATTGCTCAATGTATGTGTACAAGTTGTGTAATGATTTAGATAGACCATGCTACAGGCAACCAAATTGGCATGAGAAGAACACAATGCTCTCCCCAAACAGAAATTACATACACACATGCACAGGTAATCAGACACAGATGACACACATACATCCCAGGTGCATCTGAATTTTATAGACATCTAATGATTAGTCATGAATAAGGAGAGAAGACATCATCTTTTATATTACATACCTTCTGGGATGCATTGTCCAAGAACAAACTTGTACCCTTTGCAGCACTTTTTCCTAAGAGACAAATAAAAAAAAATGCATTTGAAATGTGATGTTAGATGAAAACTATGATTGTTTTCAGTTATTGGTTTTGAATGAACTAATGTGTGCCCAGGAAAAACTGATGCATAAATGAAAATAGGGGTGGAGTATTATTTTTAAAAATCTGAGTTAAAAAGGGGAAATGTTGTCAATACCACATGACCACATCATTCAATAGTAGATATCCTTTTCACCTAGTATATGAAATTAATCCTTTGAATCCTAGGAAGTGAATTAACTCAGAAATTTCGAGATATTTACGTTAGATAATTTGAGGTCTACAGGATAGAAGCATGAAAAGGACTTCTGAAGCTGACCTGGCCCCTCATCCTACAAGAATTCACATGACTAGTTAATCATAATAACAATTAGCTAAGTATAATAATTGGATAACTGTAACTTAATGGTTGCTAATTATAAGACTGGGACTGGAACCCAAGAATTATAACTCCCATTCGAGTCCGTTTTCTATACCTATACCATATAAGGCACTAAAAGGTACTCTAAATTATCCAAGTTTAAAAAGCAGCCAACAGGCAATTTAATTACTGACATAAGTATGCAAGACTTACATTTCTGCCTGACATAGAGAAATGGTGCCATTAGATCAAAATGTAAATACAGCGGGAAACTTATGCCTCTGGTATGGAGCTGTGCGCCCCTCACAGACCCACGCTTGTGCAGATAACAACTATAAACTCCAGACAAAATAGAATCAGACAACTCCCTGAAGGTTCTGGAGAGTAAGTCAAAGCAAGCAGACAAAGCAAAACAACTGCCTGAAGGTTCTGGAGAGTAAGTCAAAGCAAAGTTGAAATTTTGAACAAGGGACCAACACAGGGTTATTATTATTATTATAAATAATCAAAGGTGGGGACTAAAGCAAGTTCCCACCTTTGTCAAATCGTCAGATCCTTCAACCAGGTTAGACAGGGCCTTCTAAGAAGAATTGATACCCTTACAAGTATTTTTTTTCTCTGTCACAGTCCAGTGAAAAAGAATTTAATAGCACAATTACTTTCGACTTTTGCAACTGAGTATATTTTAACTACATTTATCGGTCAAATCCATTTTTGTGGACTGTTCTGCTAAGTGGATTACCACCTGCTAGGTGAAGGAGAAACTCCAGCAATCTCTTCTTAAAACTCTTAAAATTTATAAAAATTTTTATTAAATCCATTACTTATAAGTTTTACATACATTTATTAAAAATGTAAATAACTTGTACACATCACATCCGGTAGAAGAGTCTGAGGCCCAGCTGGGTACAGCGTCACCACCTCCTTTCTCCCTGTAACACGTCTCATGTGTGGTCCAGCTGCGGCAGATAATCTTACTTCAAAAGCATGACAAGTGGGCTTCCATGATAAAAACCAGTGAGTGGCATTTGGGATGCTCCCGAAACAGACTTGAGGGAAATAGCTAAGGGTCCCCCAGCCCTACAAAGAATGCATTTGTCCACTTGGAAGTGTCCACTCAATATAGACACTTTTGAATGTTTCTTCAGCATATTTTATATTAGAAAGGTGAGTGTGTGTGTGTGTGTGTGTGTGTGTGTGTGCATTTAAAGATTTCATTGGGGAATTAGGGGAGGGGAACAGTGTTGGGGAACTGGGGAAGGGGAACAGCCAAGTTATTGCCCTTCAGTCTTAGTTGTGGAGGGCACAGCTAGTTCAGCTCCAAGTCCAGTTGCCACCTGGCTGCCCGTCGGCAGCTCGCAGCCACTCAGCTCAAGGTGTTGTGTTCAATCTTAGTTACGGGTGGGCATAGCCCACCATCCCCTGTGGGAGTTGAACCGGCAACCTTGTTAGGAACACGTGCTCTCACCAGCTGAGCCATCCTGCCACCTGTTGGCAGCTCAGCGGCAACTCAGCTTGGGCACAGCTTACTGGCCCATGTGGGAATCGAACCAACGACCCTGTTGCTCCAAGCTCGCACTCTTAACCAACTGATCCACTCGGCTGGCCCCTGTGTGTGTATTTTTAATGTATATATTTAGACATATATAAATAAAATGTACTGATATGAATGATGTGTGGAAATGTCCAGAGTTTTCCCATTAGACATCATTTCCCAATATCGCCAACTGAATTATAATTTTACATGACAAAAGAAGTCCAGGGGGTACAAATTTACAACAATTACTACTTCTACCCGAGGTAGCGGATCTCCCTTTATATTCCACAAGACTTAAACTCTGCCTAGTTTTCCATGGTTTAAGAAAGTCCAAGTTCCTAACAACCAAAAAGAAAACTGGCTTAATAGACTATTCGTTACAATTTCATGGTTATTACTTACTGTATTACTTGAAGCGGTCAGACAGAAAACTATAAGGGAAGAGCTGAGCACTAGATGGTCTGCAACTTGAGTGATTCATGAGGAAGTTGGATGGAGGGGGAAAACATGTGTTTTTGATACTCATGTCTCGAGTGTCACCACATTTAAACATATGGTTCTATTTGGCTGTTTCTATTTAATGGTGCACCTAAGGTACAGCCTCTGAGATGCTCGATGGCGTTTTAAGGTTCGTGCAAATGGATACAATGCTTACAATCTGCCTCCCCACATCCCATACATAAAACTTGAGCCTTCTGACCTTTTTGAGCATCTCATGGGCTTGGGGTCGTGCACACGGGAGGCAAAAGTAACCTGCCATTTGCCTTTTTATGAAATTAAATGATAACGTAGGGAGTTGTTAGGCGTTTAAAAGGCTACAGAGCTCTGTCAGAAACAAATGTGAGCTTGAGGACGGGCACGCTTCATTTAAATACCTGCCCAGCTAAGAATAAACCTCCCTTGGCTGTTTTTCCTTAATCGCTTAACTAAGGCCATGTCTCTCTGCTACAGGGAAGGAGGTCTGAGACTCTACTGGACCCTCCTGTCTCCCCTAGAGTTCCCAGGGATACAGCATTATTTTGCATGTTAAACACCCATCAGCCATAAATCACCATTTAAAATAAACAATGAACTATTCCAAAGCGGAAGAAAACAAACACTAGCTGCACATGTTATAGTGGTTCAAGGATTACTGAGAGCATCAAGCATAATGAAGTTGAGACAGCCAAGTTGAAATCTCCTTGTTATGCAAGCACTTGTTAGACTTAAGTACAAACATGGCTGTGTGGTTTTTATCTTTAAGAAAAACAAACTAAGGGGGAAAGCTCATGTGGATACAGGGGAGGCCCTCTTCCTTAATACGCTTCATGTGTCATAGCTTGGTTTTCCCAATGCAAATGCTTTTCTCATTTCTTGGCAAGGGGAAGTGGTGATTAGATGGTTGTTACACAGAAAGGGCGACATCTGGTAAATCAGGAAAGTCTGTGGAGGTTTCCCCTGGGTGCCTCTGAGTAGTAAGACGCACACAAAAATTATAAATAAAGACAGTGCAGCCCGAAATATATCCCACCAACTGATGTGTGTGAGAGCTTTTGGAAGGAAAAACTACAAGAAAATGAAGATAACAGAGATACCATCATCTGACTGTGCTGTTAGTTATCAGATTCTAGAAAAGTCTGTTAAAAAGCAACTACCTACAGAATTAGAGGACTGGCAGGGACCTTGAAAGGTCAGGTGAGTTAGGAGGCAAGAAATATTTCAACACTTGCTCCAATGCAACAGTAAATTTTTCTAACATTTACTCGGGGTTTCCTTTGTATAACTGCCTAGACATGCACCAGATGTATCATCTCTCTCTCTCTCTCTCTCTCTCTCTCTCTCTCTCTCT